TAGAGAACACACCAGAAGCCCCGGCACATCAAAACTCAGAAAACCACCACAGTGAACAGACAGCCAGGGAACAGAGGCCTGGGTCAAGGTAGAGCAGGCACAAGGAGATCAAGAGGCAATCCGTCCCCAGAGACACTGGGAAAGGCACAAAAAACCCCCAGTGCCTGGAAGGCAAAGGGGATATTGACCTTTGCCCTGACAGTTCTGCCTCATGCATGCCCCAATGGCCCACTCACCTTTGCAACAAGCCTGATAAGGAAGGGACCATTACAATTAAAACACTGTAGGGAATTCTGCAGGGAGAGCCCCTCAGTAAACAAAAACCCAATTGGGGGGTCTCCCTGGTGGTACAAGGGGCTAAAGTGCAGCACTATGAAGCGATCCACAGTCACTGCGGCATGAGTTTGATCCCCAGCCAGGGAGGTGACCTATCTGACACAGCAGACATCTCCTGTCTTCATCTGCTGCTCCCCTCAGCAGTTTAATCTGTCTCTGGTGCATCCTCTCACCTCCCTACCCCCATACCTTTGGCCCACACCCCAGTTCTTGTATGCACAAATAAATAAATCTTTTAAAAATAAAATGGAGGATATCCTAAGGATGAGAGTTCCAAAGTTCAACAAGCACCTACTTTCTGGCAAGAGACCCAGCATAGCTTTGGGGAGGAGACAGAGTAAAGACTAGCAGAAGAGAGACAGAGGAGCAATACACACCAGGGAACTGGCCAGAGGGGAAAGAAAGGTCTGAGAAACCACAGATGTTGCAGGGGGTGGTAAATAGTCTAGTTGGACTGGAATGGAGGGTTCCAGTAGGTGGAAGTGTTTAGTGCTGGGGTTGACTGTAAAGCTGGAAAGGTATGTTGGAAGGACACCACGGGGGAGAGAAGAACAAGAAAGGGGCCTTTTATATACTGCATTACATTTAATCCTCAGCATAACTCCAGGAAGTAAATCCCCTAACAGAGGAGGCAAACTGTGTGGTCGAGAAATCTGCCCAGGGCCACAAGCAAGTCAGAGTTAGAGCCCAGGTTTTGCCACTTCACCTGCCAGGGTCTGAACTCTCCACCACTCCCTTCTGCTCTGGGCACCAGGCTGACTCCTCTTGACAAGTGATTTGCTTTCCTACCTTACTTGCCGACTTCTGAGGAAAGTCATCACTGATAAAAGCAACTCCCAGATCTGAGTTACAGGCGGCAGAGCCTTGAGGAATCTGCACAACAGCCTTCTCAGAAAGTGACAACTCAATTTCCCCAAAGAAACAAGAGCCTGGAGGAAGGAAACCCGAGAGGGGGATGGCAACAGAGATGGGATCGGCCATCCAAGCCCATCCAAGCGGTGGGGCGAAGAATGCCAGGTTTCAAACATCAGGCTCTCTCCTCCACCGTATTTATCACAACGGGGATCTCAAAGCTTGGGAAGTTACTCAGTCATTTACAGCATAACTACCCAAACTGCAAAATGGTCTAATCCACAAACCCGGCCAGCCTAGGTCCCTTACTCCAGCCTTATTAACAGCAGGGTCTCACTACAACTCCAGTTAATTACACCGTTAAACAATACGATGGAAAAATCTACTACAATCTATTAAAACATCGTTGCCCCCTGAAGTCATGCCGTCCGGGGGTGGGTTGAGCCCCTGGATTTCACTGAAGACAGCAGGCGCCTAGCCTGGGCTCAAATTGTTTACAGCACATGGACAGGTTCCACACCAAGGCACATTTGGTGGAACTGATTTAAGGCTCTCATTAAAATGTTCCTTTGTTGAGCACAAGACATCTCCCCACCCCCAAAGGAGATTCCAGACCTCCAGTCCCCAGCCCACAGCCTGCCCTAACTTCCCCCCACAAGAGCCCCCCTTTCGCTCAGCTCAACACCCGTCACCGGATTAACATCGATTAACATCAGAGTCGTCTTCTCACGGAAAGAATTTAGGAATTTAGCATTTGCTGAACAAGAGCCTGTCTCCACCAAAATCTCCCTCTCTACTCCAGAACTCTAAACATGAGCAGTGAGGGCAGCGTATCAGGCAGCCACACACCAAACCCAAACAGCCAGTCGACCTAGGAAGCCTGTGAGCTCGGGCTGCTCGCCCATATGTCTGGCCTCCCCCATCCCAGCTCCACAAAAAAACTTCCATACTTCCTCTGGGAGCAGATGTGGATTCTGCCATGAGCCATAACCCCCCCCCACACACACACACATACACACACACACATCACAAGGAACACAGGGCAGCTCCAGAAACACCACCCACGAGCCTGTTCCTACCTCTTGGACCTGGGTTACAATTACCTCCCTCCTTTTACAAGCTGGGATGGAAGAGATGTTGGTTTCATCAGCACTACAACCTCTCAACAACTAGGCAGGCTAGGGAGATGCTGGAAAAGGCCTCCACCAGCCCCAAGGTCATGCTTCAAAGAGGGGGAGAAATGACTGGTAGATACCTGGTGTGCGAGTGTCTGCAGTACCCAGCCCCCCCTTGGCCCCCAGCTGTTGTAAGGATCATCACCAAGGACTGGCTGTTTTGGAAGGGAGCCACGTATTTCCAGTCCAGGTTATTTGGGGTTTGCGGGTAGTGGGGTGATTTACTGTAAAGCCCTCACCACCTCTCAGGTGTGACCAAGCTAGGAAACAAGGGGGAAGGGGAGTGTGTCCCGTCTGCCCTAGAGATGAGGGCCACACCCCATCAAAATGTTGAAGCCCTCCCAAGGAAAGAGAGAATGAATTCCCTTCTTTCTGCCCATAGAAAAAGATTTTCGTTAGCCGAAGAGAAGCGACCGAATGGAAATCCAGGAAGAGCAGGACAAATCCCGTCCGCACCTTTGCAGGCCGGCCATGCCCGATTTTGGCAGCGGCCTTCACACATTAGTCACCGCGACAGCCTGGGACTCTCCACTCCCCGAAATCGAACCTGGCTGGCAGGGGGCTCAGGGTTGGCGGATACCGAGGTGATGGCGGGCGCCTAATTCTCCCCTTCTTCCTTCCTAACCAGCAGGGCCGTGGGAGTCCTCGGCTCGGCCCGGGGACTTGGAGGAGGGCAGCCGGGAGCGTCGGGCCCTCGTAGGTAACAAAGCTCCGCGCCCGGCGCGCCGCAGGTCGGCTGGGCATCCGGCCCCCGGCCGGCCTCCCTCACCTGGGCTAAGGCTGCCGCGGGGACTCGTCCTTCCCACTTCACTGCACCCCCCCAAGTGGGTCACTGCACCCCCCTAAGTGGGTGGAGAGGGGTGCTCTTTCTCTCTCTTCCCCTAAAGAAAGTCCCCACCAGGGCCCGAGAGCTGGCAACTCCCTGCAGTTCACGAATAAACTCTCCGCTCAGGCCGGGAAAACTCCGGAGAGACTGGAAACGCTTTCCGGAGAGGGGACCCGACCACTCCTTGGTGGCATCGCCAGCCTCAGGGCCCCCCAGCGCCCCTGCGCGCCTCCGCCGGGTGCCTCTCCACCCCTCAGGGTGTCTTCCCGGCTCCAGCCGCCAAGCCCACCTCCCCGGGCACCCCCCTTTGCCCGCGGGGCTCGCGCGCTTCCCGAGTCGCGCTCCCCCAGCTCGCCAGGACTCACCGCCCAGCAGCGGCAGCAGCAGGACGCAGAGCAGAGGCAGCCGGCGGGGGCTGCTCTGGGCTCCCCGTGCAGCTCCCATCGTAGCGGGCGCGGGGAGAGGCGCTGGCGGGCGCAGAGTGCGCTCCGAGGCGGGCCCAGGAGGCCGAGCGCACCGGAGCGC